GGAGGATCACTTGAGCCAAGCAGGTCAAGGCTGTGGTGAGCTATGATCACACTGCTACACTCCAACATGGGTGATAGAGTGTCTCTCTAAAAAAAAAAATAAAAGACCAGCATAGTGGGTCACGCCTGTAATCTAAGGCAGGTGGCTGAGGCATGAGAGTCGCTTGAACCCGTAAGACAGAGGTTACAGTGAGCAGAGATCACGCCGCTGCCCTCCACCCTGAGCAACAGAGCAAGACTCGGTCAAAAAGAAAAGATAAAGAAATAAAGTAGGTTTGGGGGTGCACAGGGCAGGTTTCTATAATGTGACAGAACCTCCATTATATCCCATACAGCCCAGGAGTATCACCATTAAAGACCAGTGGTGTCCCTGTCAAAGCCCAGCCCTCCATACTCCAGGACTGTCCCCGTATCACAGCCCAGGAGAGACCCCATCATAGCGCAGTCTGCCCTTGTCACAGCCCACACATGACCCCATCATGTCTGGAACTGCCCCGTTTACAGCCCAGGACTCTCCCATCACAGACCAGGGCTGTTCTATGATAGCCCAAGATGCTCCACATCACAAGCCCAGATTGTGCCTGTAACTCGTCAGAACTGGTCCCCAGCAGAGCCAAGTACTGTCCCAAACAGCTCAGGAATGTCCCCCTCCAAAGCCCAGCACTTTTCCCCATTATAACCAGCATTGCCTCTGTCAAATACCAGGGCTTATTTCCTATTCACCAGTTCTGAAATTAAAACAAACAAACAAACAACAACAAAAAAACCATTGTTGTCCTTTTCAATCCCCAGGACTATCCCTATGTTGCTGTCTAGGCCAGTACCTTCGAGACTGTCCCTACCATGGTCCAGAACTGTTCCCTCCACACCCTGGGACTGTCCTCATCATAGCTGAGGACTCAGCCCAACTATCTCCATTACAGGATATCTCTGTCTTCATCAGAGCCTAGGAATGTCCCATGAGTTCAGGGCTATCCTATGACACCAGAACTGTGCCATGATGAGACGGTCCACATCAGTCCCAAGTGTACCCGTCAAAGCCCAGTACTGTCCCACCCACAGTCCAGGAGTGTCACTACTAAAGCCCAGATTGCCCACATACCCCAGGCATCCCAGGACTATCCCTATCAGTCACAAAGAGCCGAAGAAAGTGAAACTCTGCTCTGACATTCATCAGCTAGGATAAGAGACTCAAATAAAGTCAGGTGTAAAGTTAACAGAGACAGTTCTCCCAAGGTTACACCGCAGCTGTGAAGGCTTGTAACGACCCCGTTCTTTGGCTGTTTCCTTCCTCACTGAGAAAACTTGTTTTCTGAAATCATAGACTCTGGGAAACGCTGCTGCTGTTTGACATCGCAGTCAGAAGGGATCGTCTCAGCTAGCCTGCAGCATCTATATCACTTTCACCATGAGACACTGCCTCGATTTCCAATCCAGGTGCAGAGCTTCAGATAGGAGTTTGGGATCACAACAATCCCCATCTCCATTTTTTTCAACTTTCATTCCAAGAAAATAGGACCTTAGGTCCAATTCCCACAGCTGGGACTTGAGGTTCAACTCTGCGCTCACCTGTCCCCGGCCCTCGAGGCCTGGGCCCCTTTATTCCAGCGCCCCCACAGGTTGATGCCCCACCGCACCCCAGGGCTCCACTCCCCAAATCACAACCTCCCCACCCCCACGCCTCCCTCATTACAGGGTGCCCCTCCATGTTTCCCATTTTTTTTAACCTCCCCACCAATTACTTGCCCCACTTCATCCACGCCTACCCGCTCTCCCTCACCCCGTTAAAACCTGGTGCTCCTTTCCAAGGGGCGCCATCCTCCTCCGCGCCCCACAGCGGAACCCCAGGGCGGGAGGAGCGGCGCCGAGCCGGACCGGCCGCAGGCCAGTGGTCCTCCCGGAAGTGCGCCTCTCCCGGGGGTTCCCCAGACCCCGGCGCGGGGCTGCGAACCCACCTGCCCCAGAGCGGCTGCGGCCATGATCCGTGCGGCGCGTAACTGTGCCCGCCCGGGGCGCGGCCCCGAGGAGAGACGTTCCGGCCACGCCCCGCTCACGCCTCCTCGTGGGGAAAGGCGTCCGCCCAGCGCCCCAAGCCTCCCCAGCTCCAGGGCGCCGGAAGGGAGCCGAACCCTGCTGCGGGGCCCAGGCGCTGGTGTGGGGGCAGGTCTTGGAATACGGTCCCGGCCAGGCGAGGTGGCCCAGGTGTGTAATCTCAGCACCTTGGGAGGCCAAGGCGGGCGGATCACCTGAAGTCAGGAGTTAGAGACCAGCCTGGTCCAACATGGTGAAACTCCGTCTCTACTAAAAATACAAAAAATTGGCCCCGTCCCTACCAAAAATACAAAAAATTAGCCGGGCGTGGTGGCGCACGCCTGTAATCTCAGGTACTCGGGAAGCTGAGGCAGGAGAATCTCTTGAATCTAGGAGGCAGAGGTTGCAGTGAGCCGAGATGGCGCCACTGCACTCCAGCCTGGGCGACAGAGTGAGACTCCGTCTCACAAGGAAAAAAAAAAAAAAAAAAAAGTCAGGCGCGGTGGCTCACGCCTGTAATCCCAGCATTTTGGGAGGCCGAGGCGGGCGGATCGCCTGAGGTCAAGAGTTCGAGACCAACCTGCCAACATGGTGAAACCCCGTCCCTACTAAAAATACAAAATTTAGCAGGGCGTGGTGGTAGACGCCTGTAATCCCACCTACTTGGGAGGCTGAGGTAGGAGAATTGCTTGCACCTGGGAGGCCGAGGTTGCGGTGAGCTGAGATCGCGCCATTGCACTCCAGCCTGGGCAACAAGAGCGAAACTCCGTCTCAAAAAAAAAAGAAAAAGAAAAAGAAATACGGTCCCCACCCAGGCTGTGTTCCAGCCACACTCAAGCCAGGTACTAACGTGCATGCAACAGTTTTCAAAAAAGCATTTCCTTGGGAGCAAAAATGCATTTTCTTGTGCCGGAGCACTGGCAAGCATAAGCAGCCCGAGGTAAAGGAAGGGAAAGGCAAGGTGCAGGACGTTCCGTATATCACGATCCCTTTGTGAAAGGGAAAAGCATATGGTAAATATCAGCAGCGTGGACACCACATGAATGCACAGGAACAGGAATGGTGCTTCGGAGAAGGGCTTTTGAAGAGGGCCGCAGGTATGGATAAAGGGCCACAGGTATGGCTAAAGGGCAGCCTCACTTTGCGCCTGGATACTGCTCTATTCCAATATTTTTTCCTGTCAAGGAAAAAAATATATGTGTAGGCCAGGCTGCAATGCAGTGGCGCGATCTCGGCTCACTGCAACCTCCGCCTCCTGGGTTCAAGCAATTCTCCTGCCTCAGCCTCCTGAGTAGCTGGGATTACAGGCGCCTGCCACCACACCCGGCTAATTTTTGTATTTTTAGTAGAGACGGGGTTTCACCATGTTGGTCATGGCTGGTCTCGAACTCCTGACCTCGTGATCCCCCCGCCGCAGCCTCCCAAAGTGCTGGGATTACAGGCTGGGATTACAGCCACCACGCCTGGCTTGACTCTTTAAAAGGTAAAAACACACAACGGTTCACCAGGGCTTCTTCCAGTCCCCTATCATCTGAGAAGCCTGAAAATTGTCAATCCTGCACTCAAAGGTGAGCCTCAAATAACAGTCCCCATCGCAGGGCTTCCTGATTTATCCCTCAACGAGTGTCTCCACAGCATCAGGACCCCAGAGGCAGAGTTCTCCAATCACTACCCTTCAGGATGCCTCTGACCTCTAGCAATTCAAACCTGCGGCACCGCCCCCTAAATTGTGCTCCTCTGTCACTGTGCCCCCAAAACCTACGGGTTACTGTGGCACCAAAATCAGGTCCCCGGCCAGGCGCGCTGGCTTACGCCTGTAATCCCAGCACTTTGGGGGCCAAGGCGGGTGGATAACCTGAGGTCAGGAGTTCGAGACCAGCCTGGCCAACATGGTGAAACCCCGTCTCTACTAAAAATGCAAAAATTAGCCAGGCGTGGTAGCGGGCGCCTGTAATCCCAGCTACTCGGAAGGCTGAGGCAGGAGAATCGCTTGAACCCGGGAGGCGGAGGTTGTAGAGAGCCGCCATTGCACCATAGCACTCCAGCCTGGGCGACAGAGTGAGACTAATCTCTCAAATTAAAAAACAACAACAACAACAAAAATCGGATCCCTTGGCCACTGTGTCTCAGCAGTCCTACCCTGGGACACTCTGTCGCCAAATTCTACCCCTATAGTGCCCCTAAGTCTTGTCCCCGGGTCACTGTCCTGCCACCCCAACAGCCACAGGCCCGAACAGCCAAACCGCGGGACCCTTCCCCCGCAGGGCCTCGCCCTGTTTTTCTGCGCTCCACCCGGGTCCTCCTGCCCAACCGCCAGCCCCGAGCTGTAGGGGCGGCGCCCACGGACAGCTCCCGCCCCCGCCGCGGCCAATCAGCGGTTGGCGCACACGCCCCCGCCGCCACAGCCAATCCGCAGCAGCCCTACAGCTCCACCCCTCACCTGCGGGACGCCAGCGCGCCCGAGCCCTGCGCCCCTCCTGGGTCCAGCTGGGGAGTCTGCATACCCCAGTGCCCTGCGGACCCAAAACCCAGGAGTTTCAGGCCCTTCTCCCTCTGATCCAGATGTCTCAACCCCCCACTTTCTCTTCCCTCTGGACTTTTCTTGCCAGCCACCTTCCTACTCCCCAGGCACCGAGAGGAAGACTCCTTTTCCCTAAGGGCCAAGAATAAGGAGGAGGGCCTTTTGTGCCTCCCCCTCCTTTACCTCCTAACTGCGCTTAATTTACTCTCCCCTGCGGGCCTTTAGCGCGCTGGTGAAGCCAAACTGCTCTACCTTTCCCAGGAGCCTCTGGCGACAGCGACAGGGCTAGCAAACATCAGGCACCTGCTTGCTGCAAGGCCTGGCGTTGGGGGGCAGGGGGAGCTGCAGTCCTTCAGGGTAGAGGCAACTTGTGGGTCTGGGGTGCAGGGGCTAAGTGGGCAGAAGGACTCGTCTAAAGGGTGGGAAATAAATATAACGATGTCTTCCTCCTTCTGGCTGCAAATTGCTTTTATGGGAACCTGCAGGTGACCTGGTACCTTCCTAAGTGAGCTTAGAGTCTAAGGGCTTGGGGGCTGCATCTGATACAGGTTGGAGTTTGGGGTGGGAGAGTCCTAGGAAGGGGGCCCCAAGTAGAAATGAGAGAAATCAGAAGGGAATATCGGGGGCGTCCACGGGGGTGCTCTGACTGGCCTTGCGCCCGTACCCCAGCTCTGCACCCCCCGTCACGAGCAGTTCGATGCCCGTGCAGAAGTTGGCTTCGGAGGCCAGGAACACTGCCGCAGCCCCGACCTCAGCGGGCTGGCCCATGCGGCCCAGTGGCTGGGGAGAAAAGAGGGGGGAAGGAGGTCAAGAGAAGCCCCACTTGATCGCCATGTCCCCCACCCCCAAGCCACCTTCTACCACCTGGATCTGAACCCCACTCCTACCTGGGCCAGCATGCCCTCTAGGATTGCAGCCCGAGGGTCTGGTGTTAAGGCTGCCAGCTCCTCCCACAGTGGGGTCCAGATGTTTCCTGGGGAGATACTGGGGGAAGGGAAAGAGGGGATCAAAGAAATCTGTCTCGAATCACTTGGGATCACTCCCAGTCACCCCAGTTCCCCCAGAAGGCTCTCGGCCTGCTCAGAGCAGCTCACCAGTTGACTCGGACACCATGTGGACTTTCATCCAGGGCCAAGGCTTTGGTCATGGCCGTTACTGCCCCCTGCAGAAAACGGAGCGGGGAAGAAAGTTCAGTCCCCCGGACATGGGGTCCCTGCCATCCATTGTCTCCTGCCTGCCGGGGGGGCATCAGAATGGGGAAGTCATGCCCTCCTTGAAGGCTGCCTTCAGAGGCACCAGCCTTGGTTTCTTGGGAGAAACTTGGCATAGAAATCTGTCACAGGAAGGCCAGGTGCGGTGGCTCACACCTGTAATGCCAGCACTTTGGGAGGCCGGGATGGGTGGATCACTTGAGGCCAGGAGTTCCAGACCAGCCTGGCCAACATGGCGAAACCCCATCTCTACTAAAAATACAAAAATTAACTGGACATGGTGGTGCATGCCTGTAATCCCAGCTACTGGGGAGGCTGAGGTGTGAGAATCCCTTGAACCTGTGAGGCAGAGGTTGCAGTGAGCTGAGATCGTGCCACCGCACTACAATCTGGACGACAGGGTAAGACTCTATCTCAAAACAAAACAAAACAAAATGTAAATGAAGAAAAAGAAGGGCCGGGCGCAGTGGCTCACACCTATAATCCCAGCACTTTGGGTGGCTGGGATGGGTGGACCACTAGAGGTCAGGAGTTCGAGACCAGCCTGGCCAACATGGTGAAACCCCATCTCTACTAAAAATACAAAAATTAACCGGACATGGTGGTGCACACCTGTAATCCCAGCTACTGGGGAGGCTGAGGCGTAAGAATAGCTTGAACTTGTGAGGCAGAGGTTGCAGTGAGCTGAGATCATGCCACCGTACTACAACCTGAGCGACAGAGTGAGACCCTATCTCAAAAAAAAAAAAAAGAAGAAGAAGGGCCGGGCGCAGTGGCTCACGCCTGTAATCCCAACACTTTCTGAGGCTGAGGCGGGTGAATCACCTGAGGTCCGGAGTTTGAGACCAGCCTCACCAACATGGTGAGACTTCGTCTCTGCTAAAAAATACAAAAAACTAGCTGGGCATGGTGGCAGCCACCTGTAATCTCAGCTACTTGGGAGGCTGAGGCAGGAGAATTGCTTGAACCCGGGAGGCGGAGGTTGCAGTGAGCCGAGATCTTGCCATTCCATTCCAACCTGGGCAACAAGAGCGAAACTCCATCTCCAAACAAATAAACAAACAAAAAAACACACAGAAATCTGCTGGGCGCGGTGGCTCACGCCTGTAATCCCAGCACTTTGGGAGGCCAAGGCAGGCGGATCATGAGGTCAGAAAATCGAGACCATCCTGGCTACCATGGTGGCACAACCTGTCTCTACAAAAAATAACA